ATCTCAAAAGTAAATTTGGATTGTGACCGAATCAAAAACTCGTCCGATTACCAACACTTTCAGAAGGGTGCACTTCAAAACAAGTTACCAATAAGTGCAAATTGGTTATTTGTTTTCGAAGGGTACACTTCAAAACCGCGCACTTTTTGCTGCGAAAAAAGTGTCATTTTTTCTTTCGTGAGCTGACGATGGTAAACCTTTTCTTTTAGCAACGGATAAAACAATGGATAAACATAAACGAAAGTGGGAGTGCATAATCTGCAGTTAATGCATTTTATGAGGTAATGCAACTTTTGAAAGCAGCAAGCAATACAGTTGATGAATATGTGCTGAATGAAACAAAATCATGACCCAGTGATGGCTATGAAAACAATTCAGTTCGTTTCGCAAATGTACCAACAAAGGATGCTACAAGTAACAGAAATATATTATATCCTCGTTGTCATAATTTATTTTGGTGCGTAACAGCCGTGAATCGTTAGAATATGTGAAAAATACTTAATTAGCATGCATATCTCTGAGCATCTGCAAACATTTTTTCATCACACAAATGAACAGAGGAGGGCAAAGTGAGGGGGGAGGGGTGGCGGGTCGGGCACAAGGGGTGCGCATCTCCTATTCACCCTAAACGATGGAAGAAACAGAAGAAGGAAGATGAATTAACGACGGAAGGGAAAAGGAAATAAAGATAAAAGTATACTTTCATCCAAACTCAAAATCCACCCTGAAATTCGGTTTTTCTTCTTACTATGAATACATGAAAACACACTTTACTGTTGAGCACCGAGCCTGGACCTAAGCCTGAGCCTTATTTTCAGCATAATTTACAACCGTCATTAAATGAGGAGATCGGTCTTGTAGATCAATCCCATCGTACTCTACCGTGAATGCATTTTGGCTGCCTTTACCAGAGCCGTTTCTGGGACCAGACCATTTTACGCCCTATCCCTTCAGGAAGAAGAGAATCGCGAAATCCGGTCGGAATACCGAATTTCAGATTCTTAAAAAAATCGATTACTTAACATGAGTGCACATGTTACGAACTCTTAGCAATATGAATGAGGGAGAGCAACCGATCCAGAATGCAGTTGAGAGATGCCAATGTAAGCTGAAGCCGATCCCGTGATCAAAGATTTGGGAATTCGGAAATTTTGACCCTCTTTGCACTGTTTAGCTCAGTTATCGCAGAAGTGCCGATTATTATCCATTACTTTTTACTATTAATATCGTTATTACCGTCAATTATTCCTAAATTCATCCTAAATCGCAATGTTCCACTGAGACAATGATTGAAAAATATTTGCTGTGAATTGCATCTAAAACAGTTGGATAATAAAATAAATTCTGAAGGATCGTCACGGAATTTGATGAATCATTTGAATGCAATTGCCTTGAAATACTGAGTTTGAAACGCTTGTTTAGAAGTTGCATTGAGTTTGATCATACGGATTCTTTAGAGTTATGTGCTGTGGACGTTTAATGAAAAGGCTGTAAATGAGAGAGATTCAGTGGTAGATCTTTTATTGAAATGCACTTCGAAAGAAACACTTTTTGTAGGTTGAATTAGGATGTTTCCAAAGGGTACATGAACGATTTCATCCTTTAAAATTGATGAATTTTAACTGGCGAGCAATAAGGCAACACTAAATGTTCGAAGAACGAAGAGGTCTGTCCATTAAGGGTACGTATCATCTTTTGTCTTCTCCACTTGAATTTTTCACAAAAAAACAGCACAATGCGTTCATCAAATATATATCTGAAGAAAGTGCTCTATTCATTTAGGATAATAAAATATTTTGTGACACTCACGAATGGTTCTCGAGTGAACATCGCTCAACAAGTAGTTTAGTTTATTTCGAAAGTTTATTTTATATATACATATTTCGAAAAAATTACGTTTGGTATGTATATATAAATTTTAGTATATTTTGAATTAAATAGTTTTGAGGATATTATTTGATGGGTATATCTTATGATATTTAGCCACGGTGCTTTCTTTAATGAATGCAGTTCATTCCAAAAAGCACTTATTCAACAATTTTGCATTGAATAACGTAATCGCATGCATTCCCATCTCATTTCATCGTACCATCGATAGTCTCTGTGGTGTTGTCGTATAGATTATCCGCAAATTTTTTTACTGTAACGGCAAGCACGTTTTCTGCTAGTTTATGCAAATATGCTGTGTTTTCAAGATGCTTTATCATTTCGTTCTGTTCGCTTCAGCTGGATGACATCTACCACCTCTTTGATATGGACTTTGATTCATTGAAAAGATTCTCTTTTCATGGTATTGATAATACCCCAATATCCGTAATTCTCAGGGTTATGCTTAGCGTTTGCACGAGGTCTCGGTAATACCGAATACTGGTACTAGAAAGCGATACCGATCTCGAGATTCGTGGTGTCGGTATTTCCGATATTCACACTACAAGTTATTTTAAGTGAATTTGGTAGTATATCCATCACAACTGGAGCATTGAGTGAAAGGAAGCGTAGTGAGACCATTTTCATAATATTTTTTTTTGTTGCATTTCTTGAGCTTTGGCAAGTGATTTATTGAATAAATTGTTCTGTGATTAATTATTATTTCTGTGTTCATAATTAATCATTACCTGCATTTTCCAGGTAATGATTAATCATGAACACATTGGCTCAAAAAGAACGTGTTGAACAAGCTACATTTCTATATTTCAAAAGTTGCTTTTTCAAAACCCTTATCATATCGCTATTGAAAAACGATACCAGTATTAATATCGATCTCATTATTGCGAAAATCGTCGATATTTTGCAAACGCTAGGTATGCTAAACAATAATGCAGCAAGTGGACATAATCAATTCATTCAATTATTAGCTACTTGCTTGTTTCATCTGAATCGGTCAAATATCATCTCTCAATCTCCATGTGAACTCAATTCGATGCACCTATATAGCCATCTGTCTTTGTATTCAACAACAACAAATGTGGTATTTTACTTACAGATCAGCAAAGCCTTAATGTTTGAGCAACATCATTATGTGCTGGAATTTTGAATTCAGTGAAGAAAGTTTTCAAATATCAGCTGAGAAGAAATCATATTTACGGATATACTAATTGTTATATATCAGTTTTTTTCATTAAAAACTATATGTGAGTTATGAGTTGTGACTGGACATATCATATCACCTGAGGGTAAATAAAATCAAATACCATCACAAAAATTCGATGTTGATTAGTGACAGATTTAGCTATTGAAAGAGAAACAAAACAGCTTTCTGATGCTAGTGATATGCCATCGCTTGTCGCACTTTGATTTGATAGAATACCACAACTGTTCAGCACATCACCTTTCATTTTCTTGATTGACATCTTGTCGATATCAATGAAGAGTGAGTGATTCGAACTGATCTGAAGTTGAGTGATACGAAAGGTTGATTAGTAAGGAGAAAGAGAGGATGATGAACTGTTATGAAAAATCGTTTGATTTTTTTACTCTTCAAAGAGATATCATCAAATCAAATGTTTGCGGTGTATGTGTGTGTGTTCATCCAAAAGAGTGCTGAAAAAAATGTTTGGTGATTGCTAGTGATATTGTTATAAGTTTAATGTTATTTCATTCATTCCATTCTTCTGTCACTTCATTTTTAATTTCTCACTATTTCTTCAGTGAAATTCATTCAGTATGCCCATCACAAACAATTCTTCTGATTAATCGTGTACTGTTTCAAAATTTAATCATCATTATGTAACCCCATGAATCGAAGTTATATCTCTTTACGAGTGTCAACTTCTTTTTACAATCCCGTGTCAGCAATCTTACTTAAACCATTCGTTCTGTATATAATTTTTAATGTCCTTATTGCCATTTCGGATTTGTTGTTCAAGATTCATTTGATGAATGGCTCTCACTATCACCTAAACTTAAATTTCGTACATTGCTGTTTGCACAGTATACGTTGATTAACAGATTGGTTGCTTGCTTTGCACAGCACGAATTGAGTGTTTCTCAGCAGATGGATTATGTTGATCAATACGAGCATTATAAACAGTTTTTGTTATTGTTAATAGGATATAATATAGTGATATAATATAATGATACTATTATCAAGCAATTAGTGATAAGGGATAGTCTGCCATTGCAATCCGGTTCGTCACTGCTAGAGGCGTTAAACATTTGAATAATCTGAATAATAAAACACATTCTATATTGCATTCTATAATATGATAATAGACATTATTCCCTTCACGCATACACAAAAGTGATGACTGCATATTGTGAAGATGCTCGTGCAAGCATTCTGCTGTACAAATGCAGATCATTTCTAACATAAATAGCTGGTTTGTTTTGTTGGTATAAACGCAATTTTCAAATTTTCCTTTTGTTTCGATGCGAATATTCGATCATTAATAAGGTGCGCATGTATTCGCTTATTAAAATTTCAGCCGACTGTGTTTACAAGTCTGCATTGTTTGTTAACAAAACTGAGCAAAGACGAAATATATCATAAAAGCAGTTGATTAACGTCTAACCAAATTAATCAAGACTCTTGTGAAATGAACGAGAATCATGTGAAATATTGTTTCGAAATATTCTAATGTGGTGCTTAACCAACTGCTTTTAAGTTTTGATATCGTCAATTTTTGCTCAGAATTATGCACTCGTTCCTTTAGAATTTTCAAATTGTTCTACGTTCGCGTTAAGTTTATCAGTATTGGTCGAACACTGTACTACTTCTCATTTCATATTCCTTCATAGTTTGATACATCTACAAGTTAACGGGGCTGTTCAGATGAGTTTAGGTTGCAAAATTCATTCAGTGAAAAATGATTATGTAAGTTTTAAACAACATTTTCATGTACATTTGTCGCTCGCAGTGAATGCGTTGAATGACAAAAATGATGCTTTACAGAGGTTTTCGTGCGCACATCATCGTTTATTAATCGTCAAAATCAAAGTTTTGATGAATACTCGTCAAATTGGGGCATAATCTGAAGAAGAAAAAGAAGAAAGAGGACGATATGGCAGGTAACGGAGGCCTAATAGCAAGTTTGAAAAGTTATCCACCAGCAGTATATTTTATGCTCGGAAATGAATTTTGTGAGCGATTCAGTTTTTATGGAATGCGAGCTATTCTAACGCTATTTCTCATCACTGAACACCATTTTGAAGAAAGGTATACGAATATTTATAACGACAATAATAATATTACATCCTATTTACTGTAATATACGAATATTGTTACAGTGCATTTGTTCCACTCAAAATCACTTTTACACATTAACGTTTCATTTGCACAGTTATTGATAAAAATACAATTCAGTCAAGCATCATTATTCTATCATGCATTTGTTTCGTTGGCATTTGCGTCACCGCTGCTCGGGTCGATTGCCGCAGACAATTATTTTGGTCGTTTTCGTGTGATATTTTGGGTATCATTAATATATGTTTTGGGTCACGTATCATTATCAATCGGTGCAATACCACAGCTCAGCTATGGCTTACGAACATTCCTTGACTTTGCCGGCTTATTTATTATTGCTCTCGCAACGGGTGGCATCAAACCCTGTGTTTCTGCATTTGCTGCTGATCAGGTTTATCATTATGTGCTCTTATTGTTAGTCAGTTATAGACACCTCTTTATTTTCGCTATCACTGAAATGTTTCTTTTAAGCAAAAAAATTTTTTAAAGCAAAAAATTTATTCTTTAAGCATTTTCGTTATCTCTTTATTAGCAAAAAAATTTCTTATTGGAACTGGAATGTTTATCGTTGTCGCATGCATACATCTAATTGAATTTCAGTTTGATGCTAATCAAAAAGCACAGAGAACTCAGTTTTTTTCATTTTTTTATTTCGCTATCAATGCTGGATCTTTGGTAGCCATCATTTTGACACCAATGTTACGTGGGCGAGTGAAATGTTTCGGGTCTGAGTATTGCTTTCCACTCGCATTCGGTCAGTATCTTAATGCCTTCGTTCCTTCTCCTATCCTTCATCTCAGTTCCAATCGAGCATAACTTTTGAACAGTACATACTTAGTTTGTATATACACAACTTTTACTCAAAATTACTTTTTCGCTTCCAGTATACAGTGTGAAACATTATCGGTTGTGAAAATTCATCTCGAAACGATTTATCATCAAATTAAAATATTTAAGTGGAGTTCAACTGAATATTAAATGTGAATTCGAGTTGAAATGAACTAAATTTATCAGCAAAGATTTAAAAAAAATTCGAATTGATACACAAGTTCATGAGAAGAATGATAATGTTCATTTCATGAGTACCCGGTGTACTGATGTTGATGGCATTTTTGTTATTCGTTCTCGGATGGAACCATTACAAGATATTACCAGTTGCAAAAGGCAATGTTGTCTTCAGTGTTTTCACTTGTATTTGCTATGCGATCAAACAAAAGATTTCTGCGTGGTATAGGTAAGTGTTACGTTTTTAATTAAAAAGCTCATTATATTTCAATCAAAATTAATATTGATCAACGAAATAACACTGTTCATTTAATGCGTAAAATATATCGATTCGATAGTCAGTGTCTGTTTTAATTAACTGAGTCATTCAATATTAGAGGTCACGATAAAGTTGAACATTGGCTAGATTATGCAGCACCAAAATATAGTGCCCAAATGTTGGCTGGCGTTAAAAGCGTTGTTGCTATTTTGGTACTATACGGACCTCTGATTTTCTTTTGGGCTCTTTTCGATCAGCAGGTTTTATTTCATTTCGATTGCCGCTTCGCTTCAGTTCACCAACTTTTGAACTATTCAATTCGTCTACTGATTTCACTACCAATTTTTCTAGATAAAAACTCTTGCAGAAATATCGTTTTCTTTGAGCACAATATGAAATCGCACCCGAAAACTTCTCTCAGAATTGTCTCACAATCAATCAACAGATCGGCATTTTTAAAAGTTAAATGCCGTCAACTTTCAATTACAACCAATCCTAACTATCCAACTTCAAGTAGATTCAAGCTTGCATACGACGTCACCAAAGCAGAAAATTTCCAGTCGGTAAATGCATTTTAAAGGGCAGTACATGGGTGCTGCAAGCACGTCGTATGGATGGCCGTGTCGGTCCGTTTACAATTTTACCAGATCAGATGAATACGTTCAATCCCCTCATTATTCTCATAATGGTACCTGCCTTTGAGGCTTATATTTATCCATTCGCTCGTACAATTTTCAACGTTACACCGTTGAGAAAAATGGCCGCTGGTGGTGTCCTGGCAGCGATAGCGTTCATTATGGCTGGTTTACTGCAGGTTTTAGTTTACAGTCATTGGCATGCGTGATAAGCATGTCTTATTGAACATGAGTTGAGTTTGCAGTTGGAGGTGAATAAAACAATGGAACCAAAACCAAGATCTGGCGAAGTGTTTTTACAAAGATTTGGTAATTCAACGAATACTTATAAAATCAATGGAACTGTATTAGATTATGGGAAAACAACACTTTCGAATGGTGAATATATTGTAAATAGTGACAATGGCTATGAGATGATTATTAATTTGAATAATTCATCAAGTGGTTATGTTCTTGGAATATTTGATACACCAAACAAAGAGTTAGTTCAGAACTTTACTGAATGAGAAAGGGAACTTCACTCACAAATAATATGAGTGAATTCGTAAACGATTCATTTGGTAACGGACGATATTAAATGAAATAAATTATGACGATGCCTCAAAATAAATAAACTGTTTCAGTGTAACGATGTCAATATTTCCGTACAGTTGTGAAAAATCAGAAAACGGAAGAACGAGAGTGTATTTATTGGTACCTGAAGGGTCAGACCTAGATGCTGGTCAACTGTATGTTATCGATCATCAAGGGCGAGTTCTTACAGAAGCAATCATGCGTTCAGGTGCGGTGAGTCGTACAGTTTGAGATGGTCAACGTTGTGTGATCACTTTTTGCAGGCAATTTCATCGACATTCAACCAGCGTTAATCAGTTCACCAGAATATAAGTTAGTATTTGGCAAGTCGAACTGTACACAAAGCACATGTCCATATAGCAGAAAACTATATGCTCAAATGGGTGCGGCACATGTACTACATATAACCGAAGGCGACGCAGATTTATATACAGTAGTACGTCCGAATTCGGTAAATATGCTTTGGCAACTACCGCAATTCTTTGTGATTACGCTTGGTGAGGTGTTGTTCTCGGTCACTGGACTGGAATTCTCATATTCACAAGCAGCGCCAAATATGAAATCAGTTTTACAAGTCTGTTTGTTGATCTCAGTCTTTTTTTGCTTTCATCGCTCTGACTGACTTTCAACCAAATTAGAAACAGCAAGCAACCATGGTTGATGAAGATTCAACTTTCAAGTACTTCATTATCATGAAATAAATGAATTATGTTAGGGTGGAATAAATTTTTGCATATTGACAAGTTTATGAATAAAAAGGAGATTAGTTCAAAGAGGGAGAGAAAACGATGAATGAATGTTTAAAAAGGCGTTTTTCAGGCAATATGGTTAATGACCGTCTTTATGGGTAATATAATTGATATGCTTATTTCTGGAACTCATATTGTTAGTGAACCGGCGACTGAGTTTTTCGTTTATGCACTTTTAATGATATTTGTCATTGGAGTATTCATCTCATTTGCAATGCGATATAAATATGTTGAAACTGACAATGATATGAATAATGTGAATGAGAATGTCTCAAAGAATAGTCATAATCAAAAAGAATCGCCTATTTAAGTGCCAGCTGATATTACATTCTCAACGCATTCATATAATTCATAATCACTCCCCCCCCCTCCCTCCTCCCCTTCTACATCAACCATCGTTAGTCAAATCTCAATCACTTTCCTATGCATTAGTATAATGCAAAAGCAGTGAAAAAATTTTTGCCCTAATCTCATACGCACCGTAGAAGCTGATTCATAATTGGCCAGAAACATTCCCTGCAATATTTCTATAATGTTACTCACTGACTAAGTTAGTGAATCAGGTTAATAGTTAAATTAATATATTCCAAAGTGGTTCGACTGACCACTCGGGGAAATTCCCCTTCAAGAAAACGCAATATATAGAAATTGATTGTTCATAATCACTAGTACCATGCGCTATTTATAAAAGACTTGCAAGAATCAAGTGCTGGGTGCGATGATTTTCAGTCGTTGTATAAAAAATAAGAGCGAAAAATTCGAACCTTGAATACTAAAGAGGAAAATTCAGCAGCAAACATAGCGCAACAGGCGAGCTCCATGTGCTATATTTTCGGCTAAGAATTTGCATCAGTTATCTGAACTCGAGCATGGTCGTTACTGAGCAAACTGAACAAATGATATCATTTGTTTTAGAATATGATGCATGTTTTCAATGTAATCTAATCAAGTCCAAATTATATATTCGATTTATTCAGTCAAAGAATTTTTGATTATCTCTATGAATGAATAGGTAATTAGATACAAGCCATACATCAGCCTGGCTTAGTCTCGGTAACATCAGCCATATTAGAACACCATTCGATTTCGAGTAAAACTTCCCATTTGCGAAGGAAAGTCTTGCTTTGGAATGACTCGTTTTTCGTTTGCTCTTTAAATTTTACGAGTTGTACATTTTAAATAAAAGCATAATAAAACACAGTACAATGATACTCACGATGTTATAATGTACAATTTAAGTTGTTATAAATAACATGAGATATGTTTGCTGTATTACCTTATTGAACGATCATATCTACGAGTTTTTTGTTCATTTGATTAATTTCTCATTCTCATTCATTTAAATTTCTCATTGCTTTGATTCGTTCACCTTAATTGATGTTTGATTCATTGCTATAATCTTGAGGTTTTGAGAACATGCTTTTATCTCATTAGGAAAACGGTTATGACTTAATAGAGACGAGTTTTTTACTTATTGATCACATAGTCCTTTCTTTCATCTGAAAATTGTTACTTTTCCAAGAGGCTAATGCATTATTGAAGTTCAAAATTGATTCTTCATCAGAATACAGTCATGTCAAATTCTTCTTTAGAATTAATGTTGTCCCATATGTTTTGTGTGCTGTTATGTGATGTACCTATGATAACCTTTTTTTTGGATAACTTATTTGGATAAATTAATTATTTGCGTTGACTCCACGATTAATATTCCTTTTGTATATCGTAATCATTTCGCAGATTACGTCATTCAGCTACAGTCTCTTAGCAGAGGTTGCATTGACAAGTAGAGGGTGTTTCAACATTATGCGAGCGTTAAAGAGAACAACCCACAACGGTATAAATATTTCTCTTTCGTAGGCGGATACAGTTCAGTGTTCGGATGAGGGCTCCTACTTTTTATTTGTACCTTGGGTAGTATGAGTCGTTAAAGTTTTTGGGGCATTTTTTCGAAAATGTCGACGGAGACTACTTCAAGCCGAGAGTTACAACTATAAAGCACCTAGATTTTCCGTCGAAGGAGCACTAATAGAGGACAAGAATCTGATTATTGTACCATCGCGATCTACAGATTCGAATATTCTATGCAATTAAATGAACTGGTGTGCGGTAAAATATTAATTGGATAGACAAACAGTGCTCAAATTTATTGTCACTGTTTGTTCTGCTCGACCTACTGGCTCACAGCTGAAACTGCCTTCCGCAGTTCATCTGGATCGTTTGCCAAGAATGCAATATCGTCAGCATAATCCATGTATTTATTGGACGGGTAGAATTGAATGCAGCTGTCATAGTCCGCAACTGCATGCTTTAAAACCTCTTCAGTTAAAAAATTGAACAGAAATGGACCAAGTACGAAGCCTATCGTACACCCGTGTTAACGCTGAATTGTTGCGCTATGTCGGAGGTACAAAAGTAGCATGTTGAATGCCCGATTCTGTACGGAACAACGCGAATATGTCGGAAATAAACGATGTTCCATTATCAAACATCAAGATTTCAGCATTTTCGAACCGACAAAATACTGTTTCCAGAGTTTCAGAAGTGTGATGAGTGACATACAAATGTCTTCAGGTCACGTTCAATGAACGAACAACGCCACCAAAAACATAACTTAGTTCTGCAAAATTCATATGTATTTTCTTCAACGGCAAATCGGCCGCTTTCAGTGTTTTGATCGCAACTTTCGGAACATTCTATTGTGTTTTAGCAGAACGATCACATTTATCGGTCGTTGTTCCAGTATCACATAGTCAGTACATTCCAAGCCACCAATAATGTTGCCGAACTACAAATATTAATCCTTTTTAAAATCATTGTTCTGGTGCACCATACCAGACAACTATGCCTTACCCATTACGATTCGTGTCACGAAGTAATTTTTCTTTTTGGCATTGCTTTAGCCAACTGTCAACTCTCGAACTTCCTTCAAGATAAAACATTTGTTTACATATTCAGCAATCACCTTTGCCGTAATATGTAGTTTTTGTTGGTTGATCATCAACTTATCCTCTGTTTCTTGTTCATCGGATAATTTATCACTCGAGATTGACAGCCTCAACAGACCAGCTGCGCGGCCAAACTAACTTGTTCTACTATATTCCACTCATAAATTATAATTTCTGAGTGTAACATCTCATCTTGTTAACCTACATGCCCTAGTTTGAAGCACTCCTTTCTTGGAGCCAAAAATTGACACGAGGGGTCAATGATTCGTTAATAACGTAAACTTCCTTCCATACAAATACTTTTTTATAGTACATATGAAGACAAGAATCTCCTTCTCAATTCGAGCCTATCTCTTTTGAGCATCATTCAACGTTTTCGATGCCTTCATCCATTAGGCGGAGGTAAAATATCGCTGCAATACTATCGTTAGATGTGTCTGCTGCTATCAAAATAACAGCATGGTAATGAATGCATTCTCATAATCTTTTTCATTGCTTCGGTCTGTGGTCACTTCCATTACCGTTGAACTCCTTTCTTCAGAAGTAGTCATATGGGGCAGGAATTCTCCATAATAATAACACAGAGGATCTGAGTTGAGGCATATTTTCTGGAACTGAAACATTTATAATGATGTCAGTCCTTCAAGAATCTGCTCTGATTCCATCCTATAACCAAGATAATCGAGTTGGTTTTGCATAAACGAGCATTTCTCTTTATGAATGCGAAATCTATATTTTTTCAACCGACTCAACACCTTCCATCAAACCAGATTTTACTGCCTACGGTTTTGGGAAGAATTAGGTGATTGACATCGTGAGTTTATTCAATTCAATCAGCCAAAATCAACGGTGCCATAGTGATCGTTGATTGCCGCTCCCATTTAAATGATTGAAATAAGAAAGGACGGCTGCATGTGAGTTAGGTCCTCATCATGCAACCTGAGCAATATGTATATACTATTATACGTCTACACTTAGGAAAGACTCACTATTCCATTCTCTATTTCAACTAATTGTTTTATCCGGATGCTTTGATCATCCGGATGGGATAATTTCCGAATACATGAGAATTTGCCGTACCAATCACAGTAGCAGACATAAACTGCTGGTGATGAAGAAACCACTAATAGTAGTGATAATAATGGTGATGGTAATAAGATGATAATGATAGTAGTAATAATAACAATGATAATATTACTAAGAGCAAACATTGCCGTTTTCTTCATTTCGTGTTCGATATTTGCATTAGGTTTTAAATTATACTTTTGTGGCTTCGGGTACCTTTCTTTCATGTGAATTTCTTTCAAGTGCTTGTAATTCTATGTTGGTTCTAGACGATGCGCCTTAAGATGCGTTCTCGATGTTCACTGAGCACGGCTTCTCACTTGTGCGATATTCATTTATTCATTCACAAGTCACTTGCGTTCGATGACCCTGCGGTACAAACCGATATGCATAACAAAGCACGAATACGTTGTTAACGTCATTTTTGTGGCGAAATGGCTGTGATATTTTTCATCAAATACGCCGTAGGGCCTCCAAAGCAAGAAGTGCAAAATGTTCTGTGGTAGTGACTTGAACAGAAGGTGGGGATTGCAGGAAGCACGTGGGATGCTTTTTTTGCTCTGGAGAGTCGGTGGGAGGCATATGAGTGATCTTACTCTTTTTCATGCTCTAGAGAAAAGACGCTGGAAAAAATAAAGAGGTTTGATAAGTGGCTGAAATAGAGGATAATTTTTCAATATGTTTCAATTTTGCTCACGGAATTGTTCACGTTCCACTGAAACTAATGAGGTAGCAATGAAGAAGATCCGACTCCACGTGAAACCACCAAAAAGTCAAAAGTACCCTCCTGAGGGGACGCTTATCCCTCAGATTTTTTCGATGTCTAGTATTTTGGAATAGGAAATAGAGTGCCTCACATCACCATTCTCCATGGAAATTCAAACAAGATGGGCTTTATAAGTGGATGAAGCTATGAGCACTTTTCTTGTTTGGTATGTCAGCCGTTTCAGAAATTGAAATAGCCACTTAAATGTTAATTAAGATAGCTTCGCTGCCCCTCTCTCAAAAACGCCACTGTTGTGATGAATTGAAATTGCCAAGTAGTATTAGCGCATAAAAATTAGGAGGGCATAAATGTAATGCAAAAGTGTAAAGTAATCACAAAATATTGACTTGCAGTGGATTCGGTGAAGAGTTGTGAGGATTGGTCAGTGAAATGCATGCGCATAACGCGGATTGGTTGAGGCGGTAAGCGGAACAATCAAATTCGGTTATTCACTGCCACCTACCTCATAACTATTTCAATTTCACCGGAGCACTCTTTCGTAATGATTTTACGACGTGATCCATGCGGTGTTCTGTGTGCACTTCTCAGTTATGTGGCCATGATTTATGCCGACTACGTTGTCATCAATTGGCTTGTTACACCAACTTTCTCACAAAGGTAGAAGGCCTCGTCATTCGCGTCGTTATCCAATTATTTTCTTCATGTCATAGTTTAAACGAATCGTTCATTTTTGTTGAAATACTTGCTATGTCGATTGATTTGTCAGCTTGAGGACTTCGATCTGTAATAACTAGAGTAAGAATAGGAATAATAATAATAATAATAATAATAATACCGTTCACCAAAAAATCAATTCATGCATGGATACAGTCGGTAGTTGCTCCTTTCATAACTATTATTGAATGCAAACAAAATGCAGATGTTTTAACTTGGCGTATTTCTAATTTGTATGTCTGATGGTTCTTTCGTGCTTGAATCAACTGCTTTCGTATTGATTACAAGTAAATAGTTAAACTAAAGCATCTTTTTGCTCTTTTTTTTCATCTTCATAATGTAAATTAATTTCATTCCTTCCTTCCAGTATATGGGGTGTGATACACGTGGTTCTCTTCAATACGGTGCTGCTCCTGGCGTTTATAGCACATTTTCGGGCAATGGTCACAGATCCAGGTATTGTACCGATCAACAAAAATGCGTTAGTTTAATGAATTATTCGATAGTTTTGCGTCAATAAATGATTCGTTGTGAACTTAAACGTTCAGTCAACAGAACAGTCTCAATTTAATATTAGTAGTAAATTGGATTACGTACTCGTTGGTATTTTAGTATGATTAATAGAAGAAGTATTGATTCACATCTGTATGGTCATTCGACGAACTCATTCTCCGAGAACGATGACTCAGACTCTGGTACAGATATTATGATGCTGAAACCTAAATACGTGGTTTGTTTTTATTAATTGAGAATTTGATAAGAGTGTTATTATTATTGAATAACGATCTCATTGAAATTTCGTTTTTTTTTAATATTAGTTAATTCTAAAAAGTGAAGGGTGAAGACTGGTCAATTTGTACGCGATGTGAATCATATCGGCCACCACGCGCCCATCATTGTCGTGTATGTCGGCGTTGCGTTCGCAAAATGGATCATCATTGTAAATTGATTCATCATTACTATTATCATTATTGCTGTTGTTTTTGTTATTATGGTTTAATTTTAAACACTCATCGTTATATTCAATCATATTTCGTGTGCTGTTTTGCAGATCGTCCCTTTCAGAATATTTATTTTAAATTAACATCAATAATGGAGCGGGTGCACTCTCCCAAAACTAATCGCTTTCAGCTATTGCTCCTTTGAAGACTCATACATAAGATTATTATTATTATTTCGCTTTTGCCCGCTGATTTAAGCATCTTTCGATTGTGTCATTGTTGCAGTCTTCCTCTCGAGACGCATTCATTCATTTCCAGGTCCATGGGTAAATAATTGTGTTGGTGAATTTAATCAGAAATATTTCTTACAGTTCCTTCTCTATGTTGGTCTTGCGTCTAGCTATGCGTTAGGGTATGTTTTTATTTTTTGCCTTTAATAAAAGAGGTATAAGCATGAAAATTGTGATTATATACTATTATAGCTTATATTGTAATAGAACAAATTATGAAGTCAGTGATTGTTGGTTGAATGTTTCTGTTTAGACTTGTCATTGCCGCTTGGGTTTATCATGATCGACAGGACAATATTTCAACTACAAGAGAATTATATACACAAAGCACTCAGCATGCTAGAATGTTTGTTCTTTTCACTTCATTGCCACATAATTTACTCTATTACTGACACTTTTTTATGAGGAATTCAGGGTGTGAAGCGTATCTACCTGTTCTGTCAAAACAGTCTCAGTATGAAAATTTGTAAACCTTTATCACTGTTTTCATTTTCCTGTTTTCTGAGAATTCCAAAAAGATTTTCTTTCAGAAATACCTCACCGTATTAATTGAGATTCTCTGTCTGTTTTTGTCTTGAAAACATGTGTTTCTTTCTAGTTTACACACGATTTTTGTTTCAATTGAAAGCGCGTTATTCGGTTTATTTGTGTGCGCAGTCTCATGTGATCAGGTAATTTTTTCGTTTGAAAATTTTTTCAATCATTTGTTAGCCAAAATTTTTCGATGAATTATCATCATTGATCCATTCCATATCATTATGAATTGGTGTTTGCACGGAATCCGGGAATCCCGACTTTCGAATCTCAGTCCCGTAATTCATGTTCTGAAAAATCCGAAAAATTCGATTAAACAAAACATGGTACTTTGTATAATTTTGGTAATACGGTCATCCTGAATTACTCAATAATCATTCCCAATTCATTATTAATTGTTGTTTATCGTCCAACCGGCAATAAATGAACAAATTATGACATAATAGCACCACTTCGGATTTCTTTTTTAAGGAAGCGAGAATAAAAATTTCATGATTTCATCACTCCAGCGTCATCACCGTTACTTTGTCTTCCGTTTGTGATCGTTTTTCAACCCCAGGATTGAAAGTGCTGCAAAAATCCTTATAAATCTAAGGTTATTTCTAGTTGCAAGCGATTTTCAATGACGAAACAGCAATTGAGGCCGTGCAACGCGGTAGTAGTAGGCTGAAAAAAGTGGTAAAACGTTCGAAAAAGAATTTACTGGGTGAAGTTTGTGGCACAGGTTGGTGTTGTATGACTGTTCGTTACCGTCTGTGAATCATTTCGTAGCAACGACATTTATTTAGCCTGCAATCAAATTCAGCGATAATAAGCTTAACAGCTAACAAGTGAAGCATTGGGAAGAAGAAAACAAATGAAATTCGGTGGAGAATGAAAAAGTTCTGCGAATTATACGATATGATACGCAAATTAGGTTACACTACATATGATCATGCACTACGATTGGTAAAAAATTACCAATCGGTTCTTCCAAACAAAGCCAGAATGTTGTGTAGAACTTTGGCATGTTCTAAGATCATTTACGCTGCCTGCTTTCTCGCAATATAAAATACACACCCGCAACTAAAACAGTTTGAAGAATTACAGTAGGTAATTCTAGAAGCGAACTTTCAATGGTAAAACTGTACTCAAACAACAATTTGCGTGATCATAACCTCATGTTTAAAGGCTTAGTAGCAACTTTACATGGCGTTATACGACTAATTGATTATATGGAAACAAATATTTCTTCGTTCATTGTAAATCAACGAGCAAGAAACATCAAGAAGTGGATTATATAATCAGAACCACCTTGAAAAGTTGATTCATAATCAATAAAGAATCAATTTAAGAGACGGAATTCTGTTATTATAATGATCGATGACAATTTTATTGATAAGTCTATCTGGTTTTATAAGTTGGTAACAAACGATGATCCGAAAAGATGGTTTACATATTTTGAATCAACAAGGAGAACTGATTTAGAATCAATTTTTAAAAATCCAGTCAGCAAATTTTTTTGTGGTACAGTGAAATGAACAAGAGCGCATGATTTCAGATTCAATAGTAATGTGGTTTTTACCGTGTTCGTCAATGAGATTCGAGCGTGAGGTTGTTCAGTTTGCGCACAATTCACAATTTGATGTTTAATGAGATTGGACACTCCATTTCGTTGATTTTTTTATTGATCGCTGCTTAACTCTTTGCATTCCGCTGTAATCGTTATTGATGTTTTACGCATAAGAGCACTTCGAATCCTTTCTTTTTTTTTGTCATTTTCTTCATTAACAAACATAGCAACGGAACTGGAGATGAACAAGTCCAGTTCAAAGAGTTACTTATCGCTAACTAGATAAAAATTTTATCTATTATATCTCATTGATGACAGTAGTGATAATTAAAGTAAGGAATCGTTCTGTTTCATTCAACTAATTGCAGCAGTCGAATCGGGTTTTTGTTGTTTTCTGAAAGGAAAAACAGCTCGCTTTCTGTTTGATGTGAATTATCTTGTTATTTATTGTGCTATCTAACGTATTACACACTGTACGAGATTTGTGTGTTGCCGTTGAATCGCATAACTGTAAATGTGAATGTTAAAGAGGATCGCATAACTGAATGTCAATGAAAACAAATTTCTTGCGATTATCAATATGGTTATTACACTACAGTGGTGTTGTATAGATATTTTCAACAATCAATCGTAGGAAGCATGATATGAGATGACTGTAATATAAATATATTAATAAACGTCTTTTAGTGGTAGTAGTACTGTTGTTGGTTTGATTGAATTGAATGAGTTTGATGAAACTCGTTTCATTTATTATCTGTTTTGATTAACTTATTGAACTTTACATGCGGTTTTACTTGATAGGTATCTGTTGAATTCGTTCAGTTCTCGAGTAGCATTTATTTTCGTGTATTCATCTTGAAGGTATTATTGTTGATTACAAAGATATGGTGATTCGACGAAATCCGCGATTTTGGTTCCTCAATTGCTGTGTTTCACCTCAGTCCGAGGTACTTATACATTAGTGTTCATTTGTCAGTACATGCTTGAATTTGTTTAACTGAACCGAACTGAATTCTGATTTGCGGGAAAAAAACAATTGAAATATTCATAACGAAAACGAATAAAATGTCTGAATAATTTTATTGATGTGAACATGATGTTCTTTCATAACATTCACCAATATGTGCATACGTTCAATGGAGAGGTGATTGGACGGAACGAATTAATAACAAAACGATTGTTATCAGCTTCATTACAGATTGCAAAAGTGCGAATTGATCGTTCTATGATTGGTCGACCAACTGATTTCCGACATATTGGACATATGGGCGCAAATGATCTGAGTTCTTGTTACAATGTATTTCCTTTTGGAGTTGTCTTTGTCTTCCTGTGCATATTTCTTTCATTTTGCAGCAGTGTTATTGTAATTCCCTATTATGTTTTACGGATCGTCCACTATCACATTATCGTAAACTATTATTTCAGTCGTTATTGCTATCATCATTATTACCACTATCAGTATCATTTATCGTAGTTGTAGGTTAAAGCAGTGAATTGCCTTTTGAGGTCGAAAGGCGATGATGCCAACTCTTTGCCAGTGCCACATCATTTGCACGCCAATGATATACCTATTCGAGGTTTGTTTGTACTTCATTTGGAATATAAAATAATTTTGCTGTTTTTAACAATTGCATTATCGATGCATCACTTTTCATTAGTGGCATCCTTGTTTAATAGTAATTGAATGAGCATCAATCACAATTTCATTCTGCTAGGCAGAAACTATTATTTGTTAAAATGGTGTAAATGAACAGTTTTGATTACATTCTTATCAAAAAAGTCGTTATTTCGGTTCAAAACACTATGCAGAGAAATGCTATAATCCTCAGAGCGTTCTTCTTGCTGTATTGCGTTCCAGCTCTGTGTATATGAGTGGGTAATTGATCTTCGCAATTGTTTTTTATTCTGCTAACCGTTCAGCTAACATTTCAGCTTCGTGATCGAAAGGTACGGTTGTTAATATTGCGCATCTATCTATTTATAAGTGATTCGATCATTAATATGTAAAGCGAGAATACTTGAATGCAAGCACGCTATTGAATTAACTCATTGATGGTCCTACATTCTTCATCAGATCACAGGATTTGATGTGATCATCTATAAGTTTTTATCTTTATGCTCGTGAATGAATAACTTTTCATAGTCGTTATAATTCATCTGTCTTGTTTTCGTTTGCTGTTTTTGCGTCTACTATTAAGACATGAGAAGAAGAGGATCTGCTTGTTACCACAAATACACTCACATTGTATACGATCACTGCTTCACTTTATTCATAGAATTGATCGTTCAATTGTTGTAGATTAAATTTTACATTATAAAGCACTGCAACTTTTTTGGATTGTACAAATTTATTTTAACTTGTAGAGTCGATTACTTTATTTGTTATTATTCACTGTTGTGTTATGAATGTCTATTTCATTTCGTCTTGCATTTTGAATAATGTTCAGTTCATATTTGTTTTAGAAGAAATTGACTGAAAACGGAAAGCATTGAATGAAAATGAAGAAAGCTTGAGTTTGAGAGATAAATAAAAGAGTTTGATTTGACTTGTATTGATTCGACCTGTTTCATTCTTTATTTACTCATTGCTGTTCTCCATTTGTTATTGTTAATGAATAGTTCTGCTGAAAACGGTTTACTCGCTTTCAGATATCTTTTCTCATTGTTTCGTTCAACAGTTTAACTGATGATTTTATGAATGAAATGAAAATGAGTGCACTTTTGATGATTCCCACTTTGATGTTTTACCTTATTATCTGAGAATTTATTGTATTTTTGTTTGTATAAATTACGTCCATGATTTTTATATCTGATTGTGATATCGATTCGAATTTGATGACTTTCGACTTTATTTGCTTTTAAATTTCATTTTCACTTTCTATTTGAACGAATTAAAAAAAAAAAACGATTGTAATTCGTTCTTTCAGTTGCTCTTTCATATTTTTATTTATTTGTTTGCTGTGAAATTGTTTGACTGATGCAATGAATTCATGATAATGATTTATCAGTTGTTCCGTTGTTTCATTTCAACACTGCACTCTAGTTATGATTTGATGCGGTTATTCCTTACATTAGTTCACATTAACTCGTTCATTTCTTCTGTTTTGATCCTTTCTATCATTTATAATCTATTGTTGTACGTCTACGGTGCATTTGTATCAGCAGCTGTCTCTTTCAGTATGCTATCATGCAGTTTCTATGATGGATAAGTCAAACGAATCTTGTCGAAGTTAAAATCGAAATTTCATTTAATTCAATACATTTGTAACGGTTTTCAATAATCACTTCCTTTTCATCAGTTACTGCTTTTTTCAAATGATTGTTTTTCCACTGCCCGTGTGAAGACTGTATTCTACTTACCGTCTATATGAAAAAAAGAGCAAAGATCGTTGATATACTTGTACCTACGTATTTCGGAAGATGACCATTGAAGCAAAAAGCAAGGCCGTCTTCATTTTATCATTTGTTATTGTCTGTAGTTTTGATCATGTCATTATTTGCTGGATTGCATTTTCAACTGGTTTTTATGCGAGAACCTTTTGTATATCCTTCATTGACATCGTATAGCTCCATTGTAAATCTGCGTGAATATACAATTGAAACTGTTACATAATTTCAGTTATTCGTAATTCATTCCAATCAACAAACTGTTTATTATACTTATTTACCTCTAGAGCTTTTTCACCGAGTTATCTAACCAATAAATAAAGATTTGATTAATTCAATTTCACTCACATAGAAATGAATTTCATCGGTGATATTTAGTGACAATATGAATCTTGTTTCAGTCGAATAACTATCTAATTTATTGGTGATCATTATCATCACCAGCATATCCTCTAAGTTTTCATCAAGTAATTACATCTCACTCAAATCTCACATTTCAAAAATTCACACCAGTTTCGTTTATGTGTTCATCAGATTCAATCGTTTTCGTTCATCTGTCTCTCAGAGTGTTCACTGCGCTTCCAGTCAGTGGTCACCTTCAAAATTGCTGTTGTTATCAACACCACTATCTTTATTATTGTCATATCATATATAATGATAAATTTTACCATATCACTTTTCATATACTGAATAAAGTTTTGTGGGAATGTTCAACGATTGTAATTACTTACGAAGAAATAGTATTTGATTCAACTTGGGGTACATTTTGGTTGATTAGAGATCTCATCTTGTTTGGACACCTTGAATGATTATCAGATGAATGACTCTCAGTTAGAATGACTCGAATAAAATAGCTGTTTTCACCCGGCGATAAACAGTGGACAAGACGGCAGTGTATAATAATAATAGTAATAATAATAATAGTAATAATAATAGTAATAATAATAATAAATAATAACAATAATAAATAATGATAATAATAATAATAAAATAAAGTGTAAGAAGAAATAAAAGCAGAATCAAAGCATCAATAAATGTGTGTAATGGTAGATCAACGAATGGTGTTAATAGCACGCTCACGAAGCTCTGCAAACAACATTGGATTCTTTAAGATCGTTCAACTGTAATAAGCGTTCTGCATTGATATATGGAATGCCGTAAACGGTCCACTGAACCATTGCAACTTCCTCTGATGCCGAATTGTCCTTGAGATCGCCCTAAGCGAACTGACTTCTTCGGTCATGTCGGAATCAATTAACGTTAATAGTTAAAGACAAACAGTTCAAACATTCAACGCTGGATAAAACTTTTCACTCGTATCACCACACACACCGTGCACCTAGAAGTAACAGAAAACCTCCCCGCAAACTCGATTTTGAATGCCTTCCGAAGGGTTGTTGCCGAACTTGAAACCTCAGACCAGATGAAATCTGATAGTGATGTAAATCTGTCTTGTGCCTCTCAGCCGATCAGAGATGCTTATGCTGTGAAAAACAAAATCAAATGGAAATTTATTCCAGCTCACGTTCCTTGGCCAAGAGCAATCTAGAAAAGAACGATTGGTATGACAAAAAATTGCTGAAGATTGGACGTAAGTTCATGACAAAAAAATGTACGCAAATTCATCAGTACCGACGAACTGCAAACCTTTACTGTCGAAATCAAACACATTGTGAACTGTCTTCCATTAACATATATATCTGAAGAAACCACCACAATTAATAAAGCTGACTGATCTGTTGTAGCCACAAAATATCATAAAACGTGGTCTACGATCCGATAATGAATCTTGTTACTATCGTGATGATCTTCAAATGTGACGCTATTCACTCATGAAACTTTTGGAAAAAAAAGGTCTCCACAATATCTCAATGTCTTACGAGAACGTACAAAACGAAAACATAAACAAGGGCGTTTATTAACAGGCCATTCGATGAAGTGGTAAGTATGACGCGACTGTTGATTAGTCGCGAAGACTATCATTCCACATAGCAAATCCATATTCATTAAAACACATCATTCTACAGAAGTACAACAAACACCTCCACTGCTCAGAAGTACATTTCAAAACACATGGTAAAGAAGAGATGGCATCTTTTCTGAAGCTGTTCGCCAATGTGTGATCAGTGCAATCACCTAGTTCCAATACACAATCACCATTCACTTTTTACAATAGTTCATCAGTGAAAAAGATCGTTTAAAATGAACCCCTAACATATTATACACACATTAACAATTGACAGTCTGAAAGAAAGCAGTTCAAAACGAATAAGACATGAGCATATGAAAATAATGATCAGTCCAATAAAAATACAGTCATGTTAGAAGGAGAACGCTGCCATGCAAATATATACGTAATGAACTGGAAAATTTACGTCGACCACTTTTTATCGCCTCCCTTGTTAGTGCATGTAACTCTGTAAATGAAAATATGATTGACTCAATTAAACAAATAAGTAGATTCTCGATACTTTATCGGATATAAAGATTACAAATGAAAAGGTCTTGATAAAAACCAAATAATTTCACTCACTAATGCTCTCCACTCCAGCCAATTCATGGTAAAATCAACAACAAACACACTATTATCACTGCTTTAACTATTCTATAATAATCTCTAGAATATGGAGGACAAGGACTCGGCTTTCAAGCACTTTAACCAACACCTGTATCTAAGACGGTCTATTTACCTACTCAATCAGATGGAAATTTGTGGACGTTTGACAAACAATGACTTTAACTGTGAAATCGAGAAAAATAATAACGAAAGTTGTTTTACAATGCATCTCGATCCAAATGTTGCTTATAATGGACACATTCTCTTAACATCTCTTGAATGCTATCGAATGTTGGCATTGCATTTTTCATCGATTCCATTGCTCTGCAAATATTTCGCTAAAATTAATTCACTTCGAACAATCACTCATCTCTTTTTACCTTGGCTGCTGAATAGAATTGCCTTCTCTTGAGAGAAATGAAACAAAAACGAAACATTCCTAAAAAGAAATTTGAAAAGAACGATGCATTTTGAAATTTAACTCACAAAAGCGCATTATCAACATCGAAACATGCACTCTGAAGGCCGGCATTCACTTCGGTCATCAGATATTTACGATTTACAAGGATCGGTAACGATTTACCGATATGCTCCTGGAATTGGATCAGCAAAGAACATTTATTCTACGGTGAAACAAATATAAATCAAATACAACACATCGAAGTGACTAGAATCAAATTCGATCAACGATTAAAATTGTTGAGTACATGCCTGAAGACGATACAGAGCTAATGAAGGATCATGATCCACGATATGTGCACTCTCAGAGATTCGTTCCGATACTGTAAGCACTTTTGTTAACATAGTTATGTTAGCGACTCCGAAACAGAGGATATTTCCTCCTTCTCCAAAAAGAGTTTCATGAGATTGCAGGAGAATTGAAAAAGTTGACAAATTAATACTGCAAGGACTTATAAACCTGCTATAAGTAATGAATTGCTAGTTGGGGGATGTTGGCCAGAAGGATGCGAACGGCGTAAGGGCTTGGATGGAATCGCTGATCTATCAATCAAGTATGACTCGAGAATGTGGTTTAACCAGATCAAGAAAATGCCCGAATGCGTTGTCAAAACACCATAAATATCTTGCTCTCATCTCAACTTTTTCAATTATATTTTATTCTAGTACAACTTTTATCCATTTGTAATTCAACTCATTTAAATTTATTCATTCTACTTATTCAGTTACATTATATGCAACCCATTGCCTGCTATCTAAATTCCATTACTCTTGCAGATACCCTTCTTGTTACTGATACTTTCTCATATGGATGGATCAGCTAATCAAAATGAGATTAACGAAATAAAATTGCAGAATGTATTGTGAAACGTCAGAAATGAAATATTCGAATGAGGAACACGAACATATTCTACAGCGTGCTTGTAATTCTTTTGAGGCCATTGATAAGCTGACACGATAATATCAACGCGATTAATTCGCGGCTTCAGTTGATATTGTATGAAGCCAGCATCACACGCGATTGCAAAACATCAACAAAACACACACTACTAATGGGATCGCCACTACACCAAGCGATCGATCTCGATCTGAAAATATTCATGCGAGCAACCAGCATGTGCAATGCAGAAAACACGCATTTCTAAAATAATGCTCGATTCTGGTCGTGTTGCTTGGAAACTGCTCCAGGTAGAATGTCATACTGCAAAGTGCTCGAACCTTTAAGGGTAGAAGTAAGCCTTAAAGCCGATAAGCGTTCCTCCTTTTCGTTCGTTTTCTTTTTTTTTTTGATTCTTCCCCCTGATTTCCGGTGCTAAGGGCAAAAATAATTCATATTTGTTGAGGAACGATCCTTGCATAATTTCAGCTAAAAATATTGCAAATGGAGCCCACATTCTCCTTTCCAACATAGGAGGAACTTCTTTGAACAATATGTGCTACGTAATTATGAACAGCTGATTTCCAGACGGCATAAGAAGTGAAATTAATGGCATGTTACTTGCTTAAATTGGGCATTCCCCATGACGACTGTGGAATATATTAATTTAGATAATGATCAAATTCATTTAATTAGTCGGTCGATCCTTGCACCACACAAAAAATAATGCATATGGAGGTCGCTAAACGCGAGTTTCACTTACAACAGTTTCGGCTGAAGTTTTTAATGGATCGTTTAGAAAAACCATTTGTACCTTCTACAAAAAAAAAATAGGAGCGAAACACTCATCAAACAAGGACAATAAAGGACGAACAACAAATATGAACGCTCAGAGACAGCAAGTGCTCACTGCTACATTAATAAGTTCGAGCGGTTCACGCAACTCGGTATGTGGATAGCCTACTGCGAAACTTTGCAAGGAATTTTAATGAAACGAATAATTGCTATCCATTGCATCAACAACCGCTGGAAAAATTGAATCGAAGAAAGGAGTAACAAAAAAAAACGCTCAATCGATTGCTGTACTGAAGTTGGCGCATTTTGCACCAGCTCCAGCTCGGGATGCTATATTTTTGCATGAAGTTTTAAAACTGAAATCAGCCAGAATGGATCAATGGGAACAAAGAAATTTTTTCGCCACTTTTGTTTCTTCCTAACGTTGATTACTGAATAACTCGTCAACAACGTCGATTACCTTTCGTAATTGGAAGTTTAAATGTAAAAGTAACCGACTTATCACTTCTTCAACTTCAGCACTATAGACAGTTTCTTGCTTATTCACGAAATACACGAGCAGGTTTACTTGCAGTTGAGAAAACTTTGCATCAAAACGATACAACACCTGAGGGCATTATTTTTTGAACAAGCATATCACTTCAAAAAACAATTTTTGCAACATTCCCAATAGTTTCAACATTATTGGAGTCATTGACATTTTGATACTGAAGAAAGTAACCTGAATAAGATATGAATCATGAAAATATTTTCTTTGATACTGACTGTAAACAGCTCAAATTACAGTCAACAAGCATAACAACTTTTCACCTACATAAACTTGAACAAATTCGTTCCATTTAAGAATGATGCTGAAGAAGCCTTCAAAAGATCTATTTATATTATCGAATAAATATATCGAATGAATAAACAAACAGTACATAAACGCGTCAAATACATAAATATCAGTCACATATAACCAACAATAACAAACGCGTTACATCTACTCATTATAGTCCTTAACCATTTCCACAAGAACAAAATAAAACGACACTGAACAAAGTTTTGGCGTTTCACTTCGAAGCTGGAACAATGCATCTGAACACTGCTTTATTTAAAGCGACGCGAATAGATTCCATTGTTTTCCAGTCCAATCAACCAATTACAAACAAATTATGCTGAAACGGAAAGATTATTTGATGGGGCACTTTTGTGCGCAAAATTTCGTGACGAACTTCGCTTTTCGTCGCTATGCATTTTTTTTGCAAACGATTATCAAAGTGTAGAAAATGGCCAAAAAGTTGCAGTGCCTAAAAGAGTAGACGTCTCGTTGTGAAGCGAGCTGACGAGTAAGTTGCATATATGCAGATATAAATGCAGAATGCGAATCTGGAAAGTGATTCTCCTCATTACACATGAACCTTCTACGGAAGGAAATTTAACGCTCCAATAATGACGAGAGCATTGCACGAAACGCATCAAACAACGTGTCTATTTGAGNAAGATTTGAGTTGATACCGATCGGGGAGATGGACACTGTTTACCTCGAAAAATGCAATATTGCACGCGATGCGCATAAACAAAACTCATCTCCAGGTTCTACGCATATAACTGCCTTCAGCAATGACATTCGCAACTTTGCATTCGTATTCGCATACACCATTTATCATGAATATTAAGACAATAATATCATAACTAAAATGAATAATGATTACTCTATTGTCTCAAATATTTTTTCTCACTTCTTCAAATTTTCCTCAATTCTCTCATATTGATATTTTCACCTTCCAAAATAACTTTCGGACGCGTATATCCTCTCCCCTTCTAATACATTCCCTTCCTCGAATAAACTCATTCAAACACTCACAAAATGCATAGATCAGTAACCTTTCCACCAAAAAAAATGCTTGAGATGCTTCCCTAAACTGATTAAAACGATCTTCCAAATCAACGGATAAAACATACAACTCCACCAATCCATCTATTCAGCAGCCTTATTTGTATGGCCAGCAGTCTCTTTCCCGTTCAGCACTTGGTCCAATTATGAAATTTGCGACTCCAAACATTAAAAAGTGAACAGACTCCAAACATCAAAAATTACACGCTTGCGTGCTTAATCATGAAAATGTAATTAATCAAATTATAGCTGAATCCGATGAAATTAGCTGAACGAGTTAACGAGAATGATAAATATTCAAAGCCAACAACGACAAAATTACTGAACAAAAAAGTGACATAAGAAAAGCGAAAAAGCTGAGCAATAACAAATTAATTTGAATCGATATGTCAGATGATTGATTATGTCAATTCTAAAAGCGATGCGAGTTTTGAGCGGGTGATCAGTTTGAATAACTGACCAACTAATTAATTTCAAAAAAAAAATTATTCGATGAGATATCGTAATTTCAATTTTCATGCTGCTGCAACGAAGAAACGATTCAAAAATGAGTCGAGGAGCAGCACGTCTAGGTGAATGCGATGAGTTTAGTTGATGGACGGATGAAAGGTATTAACGTCGCATTGTTTATTACTTCCAACCACCCCACTAGTTCATTCATTCGCTAGTTCTGTGCAATTATGAGCCAAATAATTGACTGAAACAACAAGACAAAAAGTGAATGAACAATTCAGAATAAGAAATAAATAAAAAGTGTAGCAATAATAATGATGAAAACAAGAACGTGTCAAGTAACCGGATTATATAGGCACAGATACTAGTAATTACCCAAAACAACAAAATTACGTCGACCGATCATAACATCCACTGCGACCAATCAAAACTTTAAACGGTCAAAACGTCGACTAGTCAGAATTGTTCACTGAATCACCGATTGTAATAATCATAGCCACTGTTACTTTTAATGGATAGCACAGCTCAGATGGTGCATGAAAAAGTGAATCAATTCATTCAGACAATATTTTAGTAAATGAAGTAACTGATTCAGTTCTACCTCTCGGCGAACAACGTCCCCTTAAGATGCGAACAACTGTGTACGTGACGATGTTCCGTTGCCGTTTGGTTCAAATTTGGTTGAGCCTCAGCCTAAGCCTGAACCCAAGTCTATGCACATGCTTAAGGTTAAGCCTAAGCCCTATGTGTCAGTCTGAGCCCGAAGCCTTAATCCTCAGTTCTTTCGCACTCTTTCGTTTCAGAATGTTCAGTCTTTTGAATGAAAACAGTGCACCGACCTTACCACTAGTGCTTTTTCCGATGACGTGTCAAAAGAGGTCTGTAAAATAATATTATCAGCGAAAAATGTTCAACGAAACATCAAAATGCCAACTAGTCGACGTTTTCCTAATGGACCTTACCACCGAGTCTTAAAAATTACACGGACAGCAACCAAGCAAATACGGAAGATAAATGCCTGAATGCATTATTTCACAACACGAATTCGATGATAATTCATCTTTTGAAATCAGAGAGAGCATCATTAGTGGCTAAAGAGAAGAACGAACTCGAATACAATCAACTAGAAGAGATTAGAACAACTCTGTTATGGTGCTATCGCATAACCCTGAATACATACTTCACCTCAATTCTATTACTCCTTTAATTCATGCCCTATCCTCCTTTCCTCTCCGATTATCTCGTTGCGAGAATCCTATTTCCTTGGAGATTTCTTTTCCTCTCCTCTCATCGACTGTACCTCCCAAATCTGTAACCTTCGAAATTTTACCCTTCACCATCGACTGACACATTGCACAAT